TTTAATAATAATAACATATATTTTTTTTTTAATTTTTGTGTTATTTCGTATGTTTAGAAAAATATTCAAATCCCCTGTTCAATATATGTTCCCTATTTTATTTAAACTTTTCCACCATATTTAATTATTTCTGCCCCAAGCAACAACACAAATCTTGCCCAAGCCAATCGGCTGGCTTGCAACATCTGTCATTTGTGACTTCAACTCAACAACTCAGTCATCCTAATGGCACTCGTTTTTCCTTATTTTATCTCAAGTTCTTTGTGCTCAAGTCTCATTCACTCCTGCTCAATTTTGTTTTCTTCATTTTTGTGCACTTACCCTGCATTTTCGGCTGCAGCAATTGACATCTGTTGTTGGGGCTCATCTGTTAGCTGCAGCGTTAGATGTGCCCGTTGCTGTTGTTGTTGCTGCAATCGTTGTTGTTGTTGCTGTTGCTGCTCGTCGTTGATTTGATSTCTAACTGTGGGGGGCTACACATAAAAACGCGCTACCAAAACGTAAATGAAACACTGCAAAGAGAGAAAAAAAGCAGAGAACATTTTTATTAACATTTTCCAACAGTTCTTTTTAATACTTTTATGACAATTTTTTGTTGCTTTCCTTTATTTTTGTTTTGTTTTTTTATTATATTATTTTTTAACAAAACGTTGTTGGACTTGACATAAGTTGCCACACTCGACAAACACACGCGCGCACACACACACACACAAACACACTCTGGTCGCATTTTGCCCCGGGAAAACAAGAAAAACTGGCAAAAGCAAATGCCAGCTGGCCACTTGAAGACTCAAGTTACAAGAAACACTTAGGGTCGAGCCGTCTTCGACCCTGCCCCGCAACTCTTTCACATGGCCCACCCCAGCCCAACACAACCCTCTCCACCTCATACCCTACCAAGAGGTGCCCAAAAAAGAAAAAAAGAGGAAAAAACAAAACCGTATAAAACCAAGCGAAATTAGTAAAAGGCGCCAAGTGTGAATTTCTCTCTTTCTCGCTCTATGCAGAGGTTCGGGAAGGGTTCTCAGGTTCGTCGGGGGCAAACATTACGTAGGGGCCTTTGTGTGCTTGCCGCTGGCAAAGTGCAAGTTTTTCTTTTCGGCTAGCTAGGGTTAACGGTTTAAATCGCATGTGTCTAAGTGCTCCAAATACGCACAGTGGTAAGACAAAAATTTTATGATTTTGACATTTTCACAGAGCTACCAAATCTTAATTCGAAAAGGTGAAGTTATATAAAGCCGTGGAAATATGGACTAAGGCAAGGATGTACTTAATGGGATTATGGAAAAAAGCTGAGCTTTAAGTATCCTGTTTCGAGAGAAATCTGTCTGAACGATAAACAAAGCGTAGAGATTAGAAGAAGGCCGCTTAGGTTTTTATGCTTTTCTTTTGTATGACAGATTTTATTTATTTTTTTTTTAAGAAACATACCCAATGTATATGTAAAAAATATATTATT